TGAAGTTAAATTCAGTTAGAAATATGTAATATTTCATTAATTAACAAACTATTTACTTTTTGTTGTTGACCAGCGGGGATAACGGGGGTATGTGAGCTTTACTCACTTCTTTCTTGTTTCAAAGGTGAGAACAAAAGGATACTTGTGTTCGTCAGTTCGGTCACCTAATCAACTTGCATTTTCCAACATTTATTTTTGCAGTTACGGTTTTCACATTGACTGCCAGGGGCACATGCGGTTATTACTAAATACGCAGCCCTTCGATATCATGCATAATCAACATCTTCGTGTCATCTCTTTAAGTCAAAATATCCATTTCTGTTCATTGGTACTACAATTAACGACCATTGATGGGCGCCGTCAGGAATCCAATTTCAGGACTGAAGAGAATGTTGTACAGTTCTCAAGATATTGTTGTGATGTAGTGATGTGGTGCTAGCACGGTTGCTTTTGCTGTGATGTTTCTTCATCGTAGTGTCGTAATGGTGAACTGCCCTATTGCCGAATCTTTGTTATTATTAGTATTTTCGCTGGTCATAACGACATAAATATTGAGTGACGCGTGTTATTCATTGCGATGCAGTGATGTTATTATATCATATTGTGACGTGTCCGGATCTTGTGTTATCAATCTTGTCCTGTGGTGATATTAATGTTTCATGCACTGAATCGCTCTGACTCAACAACAGCATTATTTCTACCAAATGTGTCCCCTGTCGTGATATTGCTGGAAAATTGCTAAAACCGGCGTAAAACCATACTCACTCACTCACTCAGTCGGTCATGTTTAGTTTCTATTTTTACTGTTCAATAGGAATAATTATGTAAATATTATGTCCCTTACACAGTGTAATAGTGACATATTTAACCTGTCTGTAGAATTCTACATATCTGTCTGTGGACATTCATTCACTACAAGCAGTCAGTGGTGGGCGCCATCAATGTGGTCACAAACCCACACCTTTAAACCATCATATAACGAACCAGAATCGTTCTGCAAATATTGTTGGGATATATTGCTGTGGTGCTTGCATGGTATATTTTGTCTTGATATCTCTTTCTCTTAATATCATAGGGGCGAACTGCCGAGTTGATTTCATGATGTCAAAGAACCGTAGTTTGCCAAGGTCTCATTGCCGTTATGTGAATTTTTATCGTATTGTCACTGATAATACGTCATTGAAATAACGTGATGCAGGTACTTCTTCGCGATGTAGTGATGTCATTAGATCTTATCGTCGTCCAATGTCAAGTTGTCATTGTGTGACATTATAGTGTAATGCACAGACTCAACATCGTCATTTTTCAACCACATTGAGTCAAATGAGAATAACCGGTAACATATCATATTTTGTACATTTGAAAGTAGCCGGAGAGTTCCAAATATATACTGAACCAAATCAAAAACTTCACAATCCTAAAATTTTAACATTTTGACCAGTTTTCATTCTGGGCCCTTATTGTGTATTGAAACAGTAATGACCACGTATTGTCTTCAGATAACACCCGTTTTTGTGCAGGTGAACTGATCAACATCATGTGCACAGCACTTTAGTGGCAAAAGTGGTTTTTCACGTGCAACTGGTCACCTGGGCATAATACCGCACGTGTTTTCAGCCACACTTGTAAGCAGTCATTAACAAAAAAAGAAAAACACAAGAAAACAAAAGTCTTTTCGGCCATTTGTCATGCCACGACTTTCAAATGTCCAACGTGAACGTGCCATCGGCATGTTGCAGACGGGAACGTCGTAGTTGAAGTCACAAGGGCGATTGGTTGTAGTCGACGGACTGTTTATGATTTACAGACGCGTCTACAGCAAACGGGTACCACCGCTGATCGCCCTCGGCCAGGTCGACCACATGTAAAAATTACCTTCTCTGATACATTTGTCCGTTGTATATTATATATGGGATTAGTTCTAAAAATGTGAAGTTTTTAATTTGACTCAGTATATTTATCTATAAGAAGATAACACATATGAAATTATGCCACAACAATTTCGCAGCCTGTAAACATTGTCTATTTAAATTTGTTCTTGGGTGTATGTCAAACCTCATGTTCAAATGTCAATGTCGGTTTTCTTCCATAGTGTGCTTGCGACATATTTGCACTGTCTGGAGGGGTCAGGGAAAGACGACGCCGGGTGTCCGCTCGTAACTGCTGAAGCCGACGCCATTGAGGTTGATTATACCGACTTTTCTTGTAGCGGGAGTATGTTTATATATATATATATATATATATATATATATATATATATATATATATATAAACCATAATAATAACCTAAAACATTCTTATGTTACGTAGACTTACGAATATATATACAAACATGAGGCAAATGTTCACTTGGTGTACATGTAGTATATAATAAAATAATAAAGACGTTTAGTCCCCGTTAGTCCAAAATCTTCTTTATGTCAGTTTCTGATATAAAGAAGATGTTGGACAAACGTGGAGTTTATTATTTTATATATATGGTTGAGGGTTGGGAGATGTCGCCAGATTATTATTTGCTGTGTAGTGTGCTCTTTTTGTGTTGTATAGAAGCGGCATTTACGGACACCTGCATATGTCAGAAGGAATTCTGGAAGACCGATCAAAGTGCTGGTAATGCAGCCATCTGCAGGTAATCACCACATGCTGTTTAATATCTTGAAAAATTAACGATTCTCCTCATATATGAATATATTGTAGACATGATAATGGAGGCGCATTTTCGTAACTTAAATATGTTTAGTAAAAAAGGTAACATATATAGTAGTGTGTTCACTTTCGTCGTTTGTAACGTCCATTTTTCCGCCATCTACAGTGATTTTAAAGTTGACATTGTTTTTTCTACAGCGCCGCCACGGCTTACATTGCGTGCTTGAAGGGGAAGACAGCATTGGCCTGTGATGGCTCCACTACTGTAGCAGCTCTGGCTGCTGGCGTAGAGAACAGGATAACAGCTCTGGGAAGCACAGACTGTGGTGTGTTCAAAACATCATCTAGCTTAACTCTTTCACTACGCGTTGAGTCATAATAGTTAGTCATGTAAACACGCACTGACCAATAGCAGAACCGCATAAAGGTTCGCTTACAATTAAACAAATACGAATGGAGTATTAATAGTCGCGAAATGTCGTTTGATTGCCTTCAAACTACAATGTTTTATACGTACTGAGATTATATTGTCATTACTTACGATGATTTTATCCAAACCATCTTGTTATCTATTGTCAGCTGTCACCACCGCCTGCCAGTGTGAAATTAATGCCGCTAAAGCAGACATCTCCTCTGATGCCACTAAGTGCACGTGAGTTAAGCTCAAGTTCATTCATTGCCAAAACAAGGCGGTTTATTAAAATCAATCTTTTCTTATGGCAGTGTTTACTTCGAGGAATATGGGTGTAATTTCAGACACAGAACGTTTTGTTTCTTGTTACATGAATGATCCATTTTTGTTAGTCTTTTTGTTGTTTAGCGGAGCACTTAGACTCGATTATTTACAGACCGCCGTCATATAGCTGGAATATTGCTGGGTGCGGCGTTAAACAACAAACCAAACCAAAGTCATCTGTTACGTTGTCTTCTTGGCATTCATATCTAAATGATTTTCACCAGGTACAAGAAGCATACGGTTCTCAGGAACAGAGTTTATCTTGGCTTTCTGCGAACACAAAAACCACAGTTCAGCATCAGTTCTGACAATCATCAACGACAACGACGATCTGATAACAGTTAACATATCTACACCAAGATCTCCGGATGTCATACCGCTCACAACTAAAGTTGTCAAGGACTTCCTAACTTTTGCTCTTCCAGAGGAGGCTATTCAGCTCTTTACGTCTAAACACACTTAGCAATAGTCCACCTTATGACGGTAGTCTGTACATAGCTGATTCTGGGCCCGATAATCCAGTTATTGACATCATGAGCATTGATGTACGCAATGGGATACGATGACATGCATCAACTGAGTCAGTGAGACTGACCACCAGACCCCATTAGGCGTCTCTAATTATAAGCATGAATGGTCACAGGGGAGAGGGAGGAAATTATTTCTTGCTTTAAGAACAACATTGAGTAAGATCGCTTTATTCAGTCATAACAACGAGGAGTTCTCAGACATAACATGGCATCAATAAATTTAGTCGTTATTTAGGAATAACTAACAGCCTGGACATTAAACTCAATTGTACAAACTACAGCCCTGACGGCAATAGACCAGACAGTACAAGACTCAAGAGGATGCACACATCTCAAGACAAACCATACAAGCATTAATGACTAGACGCCAGTAAGCCAAAAAGGACTACCGGATGTCAATATGCATAATGGACCGCGAGGGTAAGCAACATCGAGAGCCCACCCAAATTTCAATACTTGCAATTATTCAACATTTCTAGACAAACCATACAAACATTAATGACTAGTCCCCAAAGGGGAACTGCCGGGTGTCAGTTTGCAACATGGCCCGCGATGGTTAGCAGCATCGTGCGCCAACCCAAATTGCAATACCAAGCCTGCAAGTTTATAACCGACTGAAAAGCAAAGATCGACCCATCGACCAACATACCTTTTTTGACAGTAGGATGAAACTGTAAGCTTTCGATGCTGCACCAAAAGGGACTGATGCAGAAAAATTCACGTACGTTTAAAATAGTTGAACTATATGTACATTAAGAGAATTAAAGAGAAACTAAATGAATACTGTGGTAAGATCCGATGACTTGGTTGATTGAGTATCATCGTCCCCGACGCAATCCAACCAATCAAACAATCCATATCTCTTCCCGCATATATTGCATTTCCCTGTTTAATGAAGACACATATCATACTTCTCATAGTTCTGGAAATAAGTTTGAGCCGACCCATTGACAGGTTTTGTAAAACGTTTTCAATACATCCTTGAAGGAAAACTTGATGTGTTTATCTGAAAATTCTAACATTAAACGTTTATCAGTTTACCTGCCAGCAACGATACTCATTTGACCGTGTCTACGTATGTATTCTAGCGCTCATAAAACTGAGCTGAGTTGCCTGAGTACAGCCCAATCACCAGGCTGTGACGGTACTACGACCAAGAGCGCCATTGCAACGACTTCTGAAACAACAAGAGCAGCACTGCCAGAAAGCGATTGTCCAGGTAGGCACTTTACATTAAGGAATACAGTCCTAAATGCAAAACACGCCATCATTGATGTACATGTACGTGAGTTGTGTCTCTTCGATTCTTTGAACAATGGTTCCGCCTTTTCACAGTGTCTTGATTTTAATTTACGAGAAAATCCATAAGTGATGTATGTCTCTGGCGCCATCCTGGAATAAATTATAAGCCGATCTTGGCACACCAAAGGTGGCAACTCCTAAACCCAGTACTTGAATATTTCAGTGTTTTACTCATAGTTATACTCTACTATCAGAGAGCCATTGGTACTTGTGGTTCGGTGGTATTAATTGTTTCTGTATTGTAATTTGACTTGGTTGATGCCTGTCATCGTATCCCAACTGCGTGGATCGATGCTCAGGATGTCAATCACTGGACTGTCTGGTCCAGACTCAATTTTTTACAGACTGTCGTCACAAAGCTGGAATAATGCCGACTGCGGCGTTAAACAACAAACAACAACATTTAACCTATGCCAATTAGGTCATGGCGTGTCAGCAGAAAGTGGCCACGAAGTATCAATGAAACAGATCATAGACCACTTCGGTATAAACTAGAGGGTATTATTCTGAACATCAACGGCAAACTGTTACTGGTAAATCGGGAGATATATGGCTCGTTTCCATGTCTATATGCACCTAGGTTAGAACCTGAAACGTAGTTCTTTTTTGTTGATATATCTCCAGCCCTTACTTCCACGTGCCAGTGTGAGGTCGGCGCTGCGAAGGGAGCCGCTGTCACTAGCGCCACATATTGCACGTGAGTGAATTATCATCAATACGTAACATATCTCATAGCACATCAATGGACAAGTGAAATGGGAACTGGAATTTACCCCTTATCGTTCAAGAAGTAACCCTATGACTTTGCAAATAGACCACTTTAGACCACCACATGATTGGGCCGGTGCCACGTTTAAGTTTTCCTCATTCACTCTGACATGTCCACACCTAAACATTTGAATTGGTCAATACTTTAGGGAGGAAAATATGATCGTTTCCAACGTATTTATATGATTTCTTTTCCAACAGTGTACTGACTACATTGAAGACTTGCCTCTCTGCCATCACCACCACTACCGAGGCAGGGTGTGCCAGCACCACCCAGGCAGCTCTTTTGACTGACACTAACACCAAAACAACCAGCGCCATGTGTAAGTATTGTAGTCCCTCAGACCACTGACATGGGGGAGTGTGAACATCAGTACTGTAACCCTAAACTTTGTCCGCATTATATCCTCGTTCAGCCATCATGCTCGTACGGCATTTCATGTGTTGAAACAAACCAAATCACTAATATAACTTCCGTAGAAATATGAGACGTATACATATAATATACATGATATTCCCAGAGCAAGTTTATGCTTACATAACGTACAAAGTCATATTCAATATTAAATTAAGGATGCTGAGCTCCGGCTTATATTATGTATTATATTTATATCATGACCTATTGTTTTTCCGTTACAGGTGGGAGTGTTGCAGATCGCGTGACTTTTGCGATGACGTCACTGGTCGTTTCAGTTCTTGTAAACATGTTCCTGTACACGTAGTGGCCCTCAATGTTGACACTTCCAACCTCCTGTCCGTTCATTTATACATAGATGTTTTGTGACATATTGAAAAAACGCTAGTTGTTTCAATCTTTATTTATTTGCTGTTTCATTTCAATATTCCATCACCAGTTTCAATTTGTATCACTAATATTTGTTTTCCTATATTCGTTTCCAATTGTCCAAGAAAACGGGTTGACTGATTTGAGTATCGACATAAAGAAATGTTTAATGAAGCTTTCTGAAAAAATAGGAAATGTTTGTGTGACCGCTATGTATGACGTGGGCCATACATAACTCATGTAACCACTGACGAACAAAATGGGGTCATACAAATCCTCTGAAATGTCCGAAAGGGCATCTTTGGTTCCGGTTTTGATAACTCTACGGCTTATATGCTGTTGTTCCGATCGTGTAAATCTGTAGGATACTCACATGACTCAACCCACGTGTTCCGTACCCTAATGACGTGTTGAGTTAATCCTTGTCGGGTGTTCCACCGAAATAAACGGTACTGTTCACGAAGTCTACTTGTATGTTTGTTTTTCAAGACCTATAATTGTTGTCACATACTTTTAGCGGCACTAGTAAGCAAGTCACCCGCGCCGAGGCGCCACAATTCGTTGTGGATAGTCGCTTCCCTGAGGTGTTGTAGAGTCATAGGATATAAGGCTTCGATCTCTGATTTGCAATGATAATGGAATTTGGTTTGTCACTACCATGCACGTGTTTATTGGTTTTGCCAAGTAGTATAACGTTTATTCAGTGAATACTTACTGTTATCCCTGATCAGCACATACAAATATCCAAAATCATTTCAGGAAACATTGCATCAGAATCATTATCATTATCTTGTTAATGTCTATGATTCTAATGGCGTCATCCATTTGTGTTTGGCTCTTGGATTTTCATCTAAAGTAACAGTGTCAGTACTTTCCATATTAAAACACTCGTGGGAAAACCCTTTATATAAAGGATATTAGAAATGGGCAATTAATTACAGTAACCTGTACCTACAAACTGTAAATGAAAAAACAGATACACATACGCACGTATACATGTGCTTGAGGGATATACATATACATGTACATGTACAGTTGCAAAACAAATTTGCGTACTTAAGCTAAGGTAACTTGTTCACAAGTCATAAAAAATATATACTGTACCTCTGCTTTAGGTTTACATCATGATTTGGTTTGGAATGATAAAATATCAGAAATGAAATATGGAACACGCCTCTAAAGACACTAAATTTAACATTACTTGCAAACTTGAAAGAGTAATATTCAACTTGGATGACAAAACTATCAGTATTGCACGCTAGCCGTGTTCAAAAATATGCGTCGAGTCACATGATGGTTAGTTGGTTTGTTTGTTGTTTAACGCCGAACTCACGACAAGCATAGTCGCCTTTTACGGCAAGCATGGGTTGCTGAAGACCTATTCTATCCCTGATCTTCACGGGTCCCAGTCAAATGTGCGCGAACAGAAGGGATGAACTGAATAATGGCAGTGACGTCACTGCTAACTCAAGATCAGTTTATGGCGTCTCATTACGATTCTTGAAAGTCTTTTTTTACACAGCGTTTACACAATGATAATAGCAACTTAATTTGGTGCAAATAATCACGTTTGTCGACTATGAGACACGAGGAACCAGGTCATCATTCCATACTCGTGTCAGTCATCTCTACAAGTTGCATATGAAAGCTTTAATATAAAACAACAACGTCAATAAATAAATGAATGGCGTAAAATGAAAATGATATAAATAGAATATTCATATTGATATTCAGTGATGACGCCAGGTTTTCGCAAAATGGGTAAGCATGACCCTTCCGACCGAAAGCACCCGCAATTCCCACAATTGTCATCCAAAAAGTAAGTGTTTGTCACACAAATCAGACAATCAAGGGGCACAGTAATTTTTTTACTGTATTCTTAAAACTAAAAAAATATCTTATTTTGACTTGCTGTGGACAAGTGCAGAGATGAGAGAAAGTAAAGGGAAACGTTCATGAAATATGTTCGTTTTGCAACACAGTGGGAACAGTTTTATTGTCTCGGCCCAAACACCAATTAATAAATGATTCCGCAGAATTGACAAGTGCTACTGACCTTATCATAAAACTTGTGGTCAAACATCAAAAACATTAAACGTAAGTTTGGTTCAATGCACGATCTCACATTACATCAAAGTATTTATCATAACGACGACAAGGCTTGTAATAGGGATCATTTCGCCACGTTACTTTCATACATGTATCTTTCACCGTTAGTGTTGAATCGAGAATATAACCAGGATACACCAGAAGGGCTACAATCAACCAATCTAGTCGCTTGGCATGTGAGCCTAATATGATTCTGAAGAGAAAAATAATAATACTATGTAATCTCTCTGATCTGTAGTGCACTACAATATTCCTTGTTATCATGAGACGTCCCAGAAAGCGTATCACCTGTTCAGCAAGAGCGACTTAGAACTGATAATCTTAGATAATTTGACACGTATTGTCTTCGCTGCAACTATGCATTTTCATTCGTGCATGAAGTAATAAATACTGTCAGTTTTCCAAGAACACAATACTGTTTGTATGGTTCAGGGATTAAGTGACAGTGCCTCATTTGAATTGCTTTACGTCGGATGGTCTCCTTTGCATGTTGCTATACAGTTTTTGTTGTTGTGTTTGCTATGTTTCATTACATATGCTTTGATTACAATAGATGATACCGCCAACGCTCAAGCTCACTCTCACGTTTGCTTAAACCTGTAAATACAAACGACAAACCCATTTCTTTTTCAACAGGAAAAGTATAAACACACGCAAAACAATTCAAGTGTTCACACATGAAAAAGTCAAAATAGGGAATTACATGATGGAACAATAAAATCGAAACTTATGCGTCAAATATAGAAATTACATGTGCATGTGCTGCTCTACCTGTAGCACCCACCAATCACAAAAATTGGCATTAAAAATGTAAGTGTGTGTTTGTTGCTAACGCCGCACCCTGAAATTATCCTGCCGTATGACAGCCAAACTTCTATCAAACAAGTGTGTATGCTCTAAAAGTACGAACTGGTCGAAATGGCCAAATATTACAAACTTGACATCAAATCAGATATGCTAAAGGCTGATTATGATAACTTACCTGGTTGAGAAAGAAATTTTGGATGATGATGCTATGGCTTTGATTGAAGAAAAAAACGGATATTCGGGCTTTGAAGAAATTAGAATTTGAAAGAGAAAAAATGGAAATGGAAAAAGAAATTCGACTCCGAAAAATATAGAACATTAAAGTTTCAGGCTAATGAACTTGAAGCAGTGGAAGAAGAAGAGAGGATTTCGGCTTAAAGAAATTGAAGCTGAGAAATAAGACCATCAATCGGGAATTGAGGCTGAAAATGAAAATGAGATTGGAAGCTGATAAAGAAATTAGTATCAAATAACTTGAATTACAACATGTTCTCCTTCACCGTATCTCAACATGTGATAAATTGTTTTATCATATAATGGGTAGGTTTCTCGGCAGGATAAAGCCAACGGATAAAAACGATAGATGCGGATAGAGATGCAAATATCAAAGGTCAAGTAGGACTACTTTAACTGTTTATAAACAAACATGGCGTCGCCCTCGTCATTCGGCGATCGAGTCAGAATTAACCATCGGGAATCTGGATTAACTACAGGGATAATTGCTATCATTATCAAAAGAACAGTCTAATATAATGAAAATCAGTGTCTAACTGTGACGTAGCTAAGGCATTTTATAAGTTTTGGCAACTTTGGAGATATAAATTTCGAAACAATTTTGCGAGGGCACGAGGCGTAGCCAAGCGGGATCAGTAGCCATATCTGTGCTTGTAGACCTCTCCTCTGCTTGTGAAACCGTCTCCACAAATCAAAATAGTTGGATTTGGCCGAAATATGTTTGAACTGTTACCTTGTTTCGTTTTGTCGCTGTTTGTACATCTGACTACACATCTTAATAGCCTATAACGTTATGACAGGACAGACCGACTGTCAACAACATTTGTCTCATAGACTAGGGTTAGAGTAGCTTCCCTTTGACAAAGGGCAGTTACTCTAGCGGTAGCAATGTTTCGGTGATGTTTGTGAGAGAGGGAAAGCGATTTTATAGCACAGAATTAAAGAATCACATTATATGATAAAGAGGTTATCACGCTTGTGTGTTTGGGGATGGTAAATATCCTGTATTAGGAATAAACACTATGTATTTAGCTCGCCAAGGCTCGCTAAATACAATGTTTATTCCTAATACAGGATATTTACCATCCCCAAACACACTCGCGTGATAACCTCTATAGATTAATCTTGTTCGGCCCTTCTCTGAACGTGATGTCGAGAAGCTTTGCCTCCATTTAAAAAAAGGTGAATAACAGTTTAAAATGGCTGCAAGGTCAGTGGGCCACGTTGTTGCAAAGCGATTTTAGGAGAAAAATTTAGGAAGTCTATTCTGCCTTACCTATTTGTAAGAGTTCTGATTACCAGAGTGTTATGTTTTGGTTTGGTTTGTTTGTTGTTTAACTCCGCACTCAGCATTATTCCAGCTATACGACGGCGGTCTGAAAATAATCCAGTCTGGACCAGACAATCCAGTGATTGACATCATCTGCATCGATCCACACAATTGGGATACAATGATATGCATGAACCAAGTCAGCGAGCCAGACCACCCGATCCCGTTAATCGACTCTTTCGACAAAGCCTATGAATAGAAACTTACAGGCAAAATTATAGGTTTGCCAGGAAAATAGACTGCCCTACTTTTGGAGTGTTTGCAATGGTGAAGGAAACTCTAGTTTTACAGGTGGTGTACCTCACACGAGGTCAAAGGTGATTTTGATGTTTGAGGCAGTATGTTTACTGGTTTTACGTAAGTCGGTCTGTAAATAATCGAGTCTGGACAAGACAATCCAGTGATTGACATCGTGAGCATCGATCCACGCAATTGGGATCGATGACAAGCATCAACCAAGTCAGCGAGTCTGACCACCCGATTCCGTTAGTCGCCTCTTACGACAAGCTTAGTAGCCTGCGTGTCAACCGACATTCGTAACATATCTTGATGATCAGAAAGTGGATTAGTTACCAATGCAAGGGTGCTAATTACTTTTTTAACTCACAGGAATAGTTTTAAGCCATCAGGGTTTACAGGCAGGAGTTCGCAGGATTACAAATCAGGAAAGGATAGTTCTTCTGCCTTTTCGTCAGAGCCTAATTGTAGATATTGCCGCAAGTCAGGGCGTATAATTTCTGAGTGTAGCAAGCTCGCTTTCAAAAACAGTCATTCTTTAATGTTAAGTCACAGCCTTTTGTGGTTCGGCTAATGAGGAGTTGTTGTAGAGTGAGTGAGTTAAGATTTATAGTCACATCGGCGGTATTTCAGCATAGACTACAACAATTTAAACATACATCCGAGAGAGACCCCTAAAGATCCGGGGTAAAATAGGTCTTTAGCAACCCATGCTTGCGTTAAAACGCGACTATGCTTGTCGTAAGAGGTGACTAACGGGTTCTGGTGGTCAGGCTCGCCGAACTGGTAGATGCACATCATCGTATCCAAATTGTGTGGATCGATGCTCATGATGTAAATCACTTGATTGTCACTCGACTATTGGAATATTGGAGTGCGACCTTAAAAATCAAACAAACAAACATTATTGACCAAGTTAGGTATGTCCTGGATCGCACAGGAAGGACTGCTTCAAATCGTCTCTTTATTTCCGCAACAAAATCGGCGTAACTACTGGAGCAGTCCTTCGCTTCTCCTATTAAAATTTCTGCTTTTTATTGTTTTGGGGTCAAATGTGCCCATTTATTGGGCTTCAAATTGGGTTGTTATCTGTCGTATTTCTTTGATGGAAATGACCATTGTCGGCAACGTATTGGTGACCTGTTATAAACCCCATTTATTTCTCATTGCTTGTGGTATTTTATAATATAAAACGTCAACGACAGAAAAAATAACCAGTCACGATTATCAGCCGAGACAGATGCAAAATACATAGCGGGTGAACATTAAATGAATGGGTCACTGCAATAAATAGAAAGCGTGTATTGTACTGGTCAATTCAGGGAACCCGTTAAGTGTGTGCATCTTCGTTTCTGTTACCATCAGACCCGTGAAGATCCGGGGTAGAATAGATCTTTAGCAACCCATGCTTGTCATAAAAGGCGACTATGCTTGTCGTAAGAGGCGACTAACGGGATCGGGTGGTCAGACTCGCAGACTTGGTTGAAGCATGTCATCAATCCCAATTGCGTGGATCGATGCTCATGATAATAACCACTGGATTGTCTGGTCGAGACTCGATTATTTACAGACCGCCGCTATATAGCTGGAATATTGCTGGGTGCGGCGTAAAACAACGAACCAACAAACCAATCTGTTACCATAAGTTCCTACACTGATGTAAAGTAACACATGCCAAGATTTTACTACCGCTTTCCTCAGATAATAGTTGTCCAATTTGTATACAAATGAGCATGTGTTACTGTTCCCAACCTGGGCTTGAAGTGTTTCACCATTCCTGATGTCATGACAACGTCCAGCTTAATGACGGCTTCCTGTAAACAATCGAGTCAAACAAACCAGTGGTTGATATAACGAGAAACGTATTGGGCATGATGACACGCAATCTAACAAGTTCAGTAGTCTGAACACCTGATCCAATGCGTCGCGGTCGCCTCGTAGAGCAAGCATATGCGGCTGGGGACATGCTTGTATTATGACCAGGAATTATCATGAGGTTAATGTGTGTACGAACTAATATAACGAGATGGAACTGATTACTTGATGTTTTATCATAACAAGGTGATGCTATTTATATGACTGACGACCCGTTAAGATCCGTGGTAGAATAGGTCTTCAGCAGCCCATGTTTGCAGTAAAAGACGACTATGCTTGTCGTAAAAGACGACTAACGGGATCGGGTGGTCAGGCTAGCTGACTTGATTGATGCATGTCATCGATCCCAATTGCGTTGATCGATGCTCATGATATTAATCACTGGTTTGTCTGGTCCAGACTCGATTATTCACAGACTGCCGTCATGTAGCTTGAATATTGCTGAGTGCGGCGTTAAACAACAAACAAACAAAACATGACTGACCGAATAAGAGTCATGTATTCATTACCTGTTCCCAGCCTGTTTATTTCTCATTGCTTCGTGTATGTAGCTGACAAATTGCTGAAGCGTCGTAAAATAGTAGCTTGGACACATATGTACCTTATGTATTTTATTGCATATTCGAATTTATTCATATTCGAATACAAACTACAAACGGGAAGAATATTCTGTAGTGGAACAGTTCCAAGCCATTTTGATCCAGGGTATAGAACATCAATCAAGGTCCCTTCACAACAAAATGGGCACACAACACTGGTTGACGAACCAATGCACACGTTCAAACAGTACACGGACTGAGAATCCACGCTGAAGCAGATACAACCTCCAGTATGTGCTGTTGCAGATGGTGAACCCCTCAGCCCCGTCGGCCACATGTTTCTCCCACGGTCTCTGAAATCATACACCACTGACTGAATACTGCATGTTTATGTTATATATAAAAAAAACACATTGAGCAAACATGACCATCAACTGATTTCCCTTCTCCCTGGGTAGTAACCACAATGCATGGGGTTTCACTCTATGTCACTTTGAATCAAATATTATATACCTTGTACACGTACATTTCCGAATAGGTAACAATTTAAAATCGTTTGCGCATATAGGAGATACCATTGCCACATATTCGTTTGACCTGTGAAGATCCGGATTAGAACTGATATTCAGCAAACCTTGCTTGTCGAAAGAGGCGACTAACGGGGTCGTGGTCGTTGACATGGTTGATGCATGTCATCGTATCCCATTTCCATAGACCGATACTCATGTCAATCACTGGATTGTCTAGTTCAGACTCGATTAATTACAGACCGCCGTCAAATAGCTGGAATATGGCTGAGTGCGGCGTTAAACTTTAAACAATCAAAACGTACATGTATGTTTATATAATGTTTACCATATCCTTATGAATCCATCTGTAATATTGAGGCGTAATAAAAGTTTGGTGTATTGTTTCAAACACACTTGAGATGTAAGAGACAATCAAGCGATTGATATAAGGAGCAACGATCCACGCCGTTGGGTTCGATGCCACGTAATCAACCAAGTCACAGACCATTACCATTCGTTAAGACGCCACCATATATGATACTTTGGACCTATGTTATCCTAGAATTCAAAAGGGGGCGGCACTATGTATCCTTGAACATACCAGTTAAGAAAATACAGAATAGGTTTTCTTTAGTTCATTTACCAGTAGTATATTCATTTGGAGTTCACAATCCTTGTCATGTTGGGAAATGTCTAGACACTGTGAAAAAAGAACGTTTAAACTATTGCAGTGCTCCACTTTAGAATAGGTCTTCAGCAACCTATGCTTGCCGTAAAATGCGACTAACGGGATCGGGTGGTCAGCCTCGCTGACTTGGTTGATGCGTATCATCGATCCAAATTGCGTTGATCGATGCTCATGATATTAATCACTTGATTGTCTGGTCCAGACTCAATTATTTACAGACCGACGTTTAAAAGCTGGACTATTGCTGAGTTCGGCGTTAAACAACAAACCAACCAACCAACTTTGATAGACCAGTATCAAGGAAACAAGTTACCGTGAGATAACAGGGTACTTTGTGTTGATTATACTGACCATTATATTTAGCTAATAATGTTGACAGTTATATACACTTATTGGAAGACAATAATGTGCAATGATGAATGAGTGCCTTATATGGGCAATTAGAAAATTTTACTAAAACTTCCTGCACAAATTCCGCATGAGATGCATGCTATATTCATTCATCGTTTCGTCGCTATGTGGCTGAGTGGTCAGGCTCGCTGACTTGGTTGATACATGTCATCGGTCCCAATTGCGTGGATTGATGCTCATGATATTAATCACTGGATTGACGCCGCACTCAGCAATATTCCAGCTTATACGACGGTGGTCTGTACCTATCGAGTCGGGACCAGGCAATCCAGTGATTGACATCATGAGCATCGATCCACGCAATTAGGACATCAGCGAATATACGCCACGACTGACAGAAGCCCAACGCAACAACGCCATCGGCCGACTGCAGGAGAATCCTTTTCAGCTGTAGCAAAGGTTTTCCACGTTGCACCAAACACCATCACAAGACAGTGGATTCGTTATCAGACACACGGGACAACACGTGACCTTCCCATATCTGGTCGACTACATATCACTACTAGAGTACAGGGCAGTTCCAGCCGACAACGTCATTTACCTGAAAGAACAACGGTCCTCTCTACAACTTCGGCCAAACCTATGAGTTAGTGAGTGATTATGTTTTTTTCGCCGCTTGTAGCAATATTCAAGCAACATCACGGTGGAGGACACCAGCAATGGGCTTTGTACCCACGTAGGGAATCGAACCCGGCCCTTCAGTGTGACGAGCGAACGCTTTAGCCACGCGGCTACCCCACAACCCCCTAGCAATACCAGGATTGCGTAGGATATCGGCCCTACGTTTCGGAACCGTTTAGGCCCTAGACGACCAGTTCGAGGTGTCATTTTGACGGACCTGCGACGTCAATGTTGTCAACGTCACAGTGTATGGCAACAACTGTGATGGAGACAAGTTTGGTTTATTCACCTTTTATGCATCGCCGTGCGGATGGTCGACGTCGTGTTTGCAGGCGTCGCAGGGAACGTTACGCCCTAAGCTGCATACAGGAGGTAGACAGACTTGGTTGTGGTAGTGTGGTGATGTGGGCAGCTATCTCCTACACTAGTCGAACAAACTTGGATCAAGTTCAAGGGAATGTATCGGCACAACGATACACAGATTAGATTCTTCGGCCACACGTACTTCCCATTATGCAACAAGCGAACGTCATTTTCCAACAAGACAACGCCTGACCTAATACGGCAAGACTGATAACAGCCCTTTTCAGGAATCACAACATCCAGGTCCTGCCCCACCAGGTCTCCAGATTGACGATGACAATCACTCCTGAACTCGAATGGTGGCTGTACACGATGTTGAGAACCTTCACCTTGAACATCTACAGTTCCATTTGTGCAATGTGGAACCTGGGTCAATGACAATGATGTGTGCCAACTTTGAACAATCAATCTATTGATTATTTATATGGAATATGAAATATACATCTAATATCACGTTTCTATGCTTGCAGGGTATATTTATCATCCATATCCGTATATAACAAAGTCACAGATAGTTCTTATGTCGAGTAATATATATTTTTTGATTCTGTACATAAACATTTTGGCATAATAAATGCGGGTCCTGTGTGAAACCTCTTGTGTTTACTTACATAGTTGCCTGGCCAAGGCAGCATGCACGCCGTTTCCCTTCCCTTCATCCATAATGTCCCAGAATATATTGGACAACCAGTTAGCGTGACAAGGTCCTTGTCTACGTTCTCCTTTATTTTTGGTAGAAAATTAAACATTTCAACACCATAATCTGAAAAATTATCTTTAGAGGCGATGGAGCTTTCTCGGATATCACAGGTCTTATCTGTTACAATAATAAACCAGATATATTCAATGGATGCTTTGCCTGCTGGAGCTATGGCTCTAAACCGGAACGTACGCCCCAGTGACATTAGAATCTGACGTTTATCCTCAGGGTACACTACCGTCAAGCTGCCATCAACCGTCGTCTTCCTTTGTATTCCATAATAGCCAAAATTGTTGATAATGACTGTCAATAAAATTTTATCGGTAGATGTGATAATGTGTATGTTGTCAGGAATCAATTTCCTGAGAAAAACCTGTCCTTTCTCCAGTTTATACGTTTTCCCGCTTACATTAATTGAGTTGTTATCACTGATGCTTACAGCCTTTATTTGATATGTGCCGGGTAGATCTGGAAACAGTGGCAACACATGCTTAGATCCCAGAGCTGTGATTGGTGGCATTTGTTCTACTATGTTGTCTTTGCCATCATTGTGTTGGTAGTAATCAACCTCAGTGTAGTCAGATCCAGAGTAGACTGCAACGGGTTTTGTAGCTGTCACATACGTTCCTGACAGATCTACTGAGCACTGTAGCTGCAGAGTATCATATGTTTGAAGGGTGATTTCTAATGTGTCTTCTGACTGGTAGTTAACATTGTTAAAGTTTACCTTGCCTTGTGCAATATGGAAGTTGACAGTTACATCCGTATCATCTTCAGTGGCGACAATCATGAATAGGCAAACATTTGATTCACAGAGAGTGACAACTGTGTATTCTGTACCAAGCTGCGACACTGGTAGAGCTAAAAACGCGCCGATAGAATTAGAGGCTGTGTTGAATCCTTGCACATAGATCTCCTGGTCACTGGTTATGTGTATGCCAAGGCTGTGTTTAGACGTAAAGAGCTGAATAGCCTCCTCTGGAAGAGCAAAAGTTAGGAAGTCCTTGACAACTTTTGTTGTGAGCGGTATGACATCCGGAGCTCTTGGTGTAGATATGTTAACTGTTATCAGATCGTCGTTGTCGTTGATGATTGTCAGAACCGGTGCTGATCTGTGGTTTTTGTGTTCGCAGAAAGCCAAGATAAACTCTGTTCCTGAGAACCGTATGCTTCTTGTACCTGGTGAAAATCATTTAGATATGAATGCCAAGAAGACAACGTAACAGATGACTTTGGTTTGGTTTGTTGTTTTACGCCGCACTTAGAAATATTCCAGCTATATGACGGCGGTCTGTCATTAATCGAGTCTGAACCAGACTATCCAGTGATTTACATCATGAGCATCGATCCACGCAATTGGGATCGATGACGTGCATCAACCAAGTCAGCGAGTCTGACCACCCGCTCCCGTTGGCAAAGACATTGATGTCACCTCAACCTAAAACTTCACGGTTTCTTTATATAGTCTGAGTATGACTGATTTTGTTACCTTCACAATTCATTATTTGAATAAAGGGGGAAAAAATAAACTGATATAAATTGGAAGAGACAAACAGTCTGTGTAATGCTGGCCTGTAAAAAATGAAGGTTGGTGCAGACAGACCTCAACTACTACAATCATAAAATCGAAATCTCTTCTGAACATTCGTTCATTTCATGGTATTTCTTAGCATTTTGTTCTTACCCAACGGCATCAGCATGGCGACAGTCAGGAGGAGAGCAAACATCTGCAAGCACAGACGATTTCATTAACCGTCATGGAAAACAATCTTAAAAGGAATAGTATAAAATATGTAATCTCCATAGTGAACATGCTAAACGTTACTTGAATAGCTGGAATATTGTTGAGTGCGGCGTTCAACAACAAACAAACGAGCAAAACAAAACTTAAAACAGTGAATCAATATCCATAATTGTATTAAATATGATTTAAGTACCTTTTGCAGTAACACTCTCCTGTACCAGCACTTGAATCGTCACTGCAAACTATTAGCAGAAGGTTTTGTGTTCTCCCTTTGCTTAAAAGACGTTTGCTTGTGTAAGATTGGATTTCGGGTGGTATCAATGGCATTTGAATTGTTCCTGTGGGAAATGCAACGTACATGATTATTTAGAATCGTTTATTCAATCTAAGGTGTCCTCTAATTTATCTTTGTTTGGCGTATTGTATGTTCCTGAACTTTGTATCTGACAACTGGGGACTGACATTGTGACGTTCAGTCAAGATAAAATTTCAGAAAAACATCTTTCATCATATCCCTTCCTGATAATCAGTAGATACATCTGTCAGTGGTATTTGAGCAGTGTAAATAATTGATACTATTCTACCCTGGCATCTGGAGGATCTGTGTATATTGGAGTATTATCACTACTTGTGTCTCTGCTGTCGTCAATGACATTTACATGGAAAACTTGAAAATTTATGTTAGTCTCGATAGTATATTTTTCATTACGTCCCACCTCATCAGCTTACGCACTCCCCAGCACATTAAATGAATAATACACATACTAATGGTGTTTCAGAAACATGTAAGCCCACACACTTTTCAATAATTGTAACCCGTGGAGATCCGTTGTAGAATAGGTCTTAAGCAACCCATGCCTGCCTTTAACCCTCTTGGTGCCACGGAACCATATATGGTCCCTCACTTTCCACACCCGCATAGTGCCATAGGACCATATATGGTCCCGAGAAAATGCCCTTTTGAAACTGTGAATTTAGATATCAAACACTGAGTGCACAAAATCAACATTATAACCATCATCACCCCAGCTTTAACATCGTGCAACTCATACTTTATACAATGCTATGGAGTACGAAATATGGCGAGATAAGTAAAAAGGTTACCGCGCTCGGCCTTTCTCTGCCATATTTGAACACCAAGTAAATGGCGGTGAATTTTGATTACGAGTCATGTTATGTGGGTCTGTCCTTCCAACGATTGTGAACTCCGGACGAGTCTTTCGTGGATCTTGGATGCCGGTGTCCCGGTATAAACTCTCCCCCGTACAAATTCTCCCCCCGGAGATTTTATACCGGTATAGATTCTCCCCCGGAGAATCCTGTCTGAAATATAATCTCCCCCGGGCGGATATATTTCGCGCCCCTCTCAGTATAAAGTCTCCCCCCTGATTATTCGGTTTTTTGCAATGTCTTTAAAAACTATATTCTTGAAATAGTTATCTTTAATGTAAGGAGGGTTACTTTAAAAAAATAGGTTATGAAATATGGTCATAATGAATTGATATTTCAGCATATTTTATTTGGTAACTGTACCTTCTAACTGTAACTGTCTCTACATAGTTTATTGTTTCTAATACAGTTGTTGTTGTCTGTATACATTTTTTTAATATACCAGTTTGAGTCTACATGTGAACACAATCGATGGTTGAAATGTTAGTCTAAGAACAAAACATGAACTAATTCTCAAGAACTCTGATGTATAAGGTTACCTTCATGTTTGACTGACTGGTGTATTTTCGATCTTTATTCAGCACTGAAGAGGCCACAGGCCTATAGTACAACGCATTAAGTTTATGAATAATCATCATTGATTTTGACTCCAAAACTGTCATTAAGTATTCATAAAGCATCAGGGGTAATTTCAACTTGCAAAATAATTGACATAGTCCTTTATAGAGCGAGGATTGGGCTGTTTTCCCACCCGATTGACTGATATTACAACATTCACATGGTTTAGAATGGTACAATGAATGGTAAGGCATGCAAATTACACTAATACGCGATATTTCATAAGAAAATATTATATCTCCGTTGAAACATAAAACCAATATTTATGAGTCTACATATTGATATAAGACTTTATCACTGTATCCAATTCCAAAATTGTAGATATAAACTTTCGGACAGTTCAGTTCACAATTCTTCAACCTTTAATACATCACAGGATTTGTAGCTAGACGACGGGAATCTACAGTCTTGACTGTGTGTTTTCTTTGATGAGAATGTTTCCCACCGACCTTAGCGTGTAGGGGTGTGATGTCCTGGGCAGGAAATGACAGTGTTTTGACTACTCGTCTTTCATTAATTAACGTGTTGGGTATCCCTAATTAACCTTTACTAATTCATGTTAAACCAACACAGGATGTTTTCTGGAAGTGGACAATCGCGAATGTGTTAGAGCTGACACGACACGTGTCCTAGAACTTCTAAATTTACTAAACATTCTTATATCTAACGACTAGTATTATATCTACCTATATACCACTTTATTGTCTTATATTGCGGTAGTTAAAGAAAACACAGTGCTCAAAGTGAAGCCTGTTACGATGTAAATTGTAATAAAAACTTTAAGGTAAATTGTAATACTTGCAGCAAATTGTAATAATTTAGACGTAAATTGTAATAACAACGTAAATTGTAATAATAGTTGACGTAAATTGTAATACGCAAATTGTAATAAAGATTCTCAACATTTACACATCAATATATTTGTGTAAGTTTGTAACGTTATAATTATTCCATTTTGTATATTACTACCTACTTTACCAATTGAAATATGATTCCATTAGGTTAAATATGAACAATTATGATGAAAATCGTCAATAGGATATATTACAATTAAGTACAAAACACACAGAGTATTTCTCAAATAAATAAAAATGTTCATTCTAGTAATTAATCCTCTTCTGGACAACCATAGAAATGAAATTCCAATGCGTTTATATATACATATAATTATACAACAATGTACGATAACGACATCAATCCTCCCCCACATGTACACCCATACTTTGAAGACGATTGTACGATAAACCCTGTACCAACCCTGACAAGGATAGGTTCTAGTCATTTAACGCCTTTGACACTATACTTATAAGGTTATTACAATTTACGTAAAAAGTTATTACATTTTACCGCAAGTTGAGATTATTACAATTTACGTCAATTTTTATTACAATTTGCGCATTACAATTTACGTCAAATTTTATTACAATTTACGTTGTTATTACAATTTACGTCAAAATTATTATAATTTGCTGCAAGTATTACAATTTAGCTTTATATTACAATTTACGTCGTAATATAACAAAGCCCTTTTCACTCCACATTCTCAACATCGTCTCTAACAGAAGTGTTTGGCAACTATTGAACTGCATGGCAAGTATTTATAAAATGACCGGGGTAGGAAATATTCTGGGGGAGATTTTATTTCGTAGGGTGGGGGAGAGTTTATTTCGAGAGGGGCGGAACTGTACCGGTATAAATTCGCCGGGGGGAGATTTTATTCTGGGGGCGAATATATTTCGTGACACCGGAACAAATCAAAAATATTTTTTGAAAAAGAAAAAAAAAAATTAACCAGTTGTACTACCATACCCTTCTTGGAGATAGGTACTGCGCTATGCACAACATATGTGCTATTTTTTTTAATGTCATCAGTTTTGTTATAAAGCCATACAATTGTAAGATATTGTTGAAACTGTGTTCAAAATGTTGTATATAAATACCTAACAATGAATCAACCAAACATACATCACAAGCAACATGGGATCATTTACACGAGAATCACCATGACAAATGTATAAAATATTGAAAGTTTTTATCTGATGTAAAATAAGGAATCATTTTAATATCCTGTACTTAATTGATAATGATTAAAATTTTATGAATTGTATTAATTTGTCAATTTCGTGACAGGTGATTTTTCACCTGTCAAAAGGTTAACAAATCAATTACTTTCAGAAATATTTTAAGACTGGGGGAAATCAGGTTTCGACATCATAACTGTCTTGTAACTGATATATTATTTATGAGAAGCATTTAAAACATACATCTAAATCACGAGGAAATATGCTAATGAACTAGTTAATCATTTTTTCACATTCTTTCAGACACTGATTGACATGGTATATAACCAGTATTTCTGGGAGCGTCAGACATTGGCACTAGTCCTGTAAGTCCTTGCCAAACTGCCCAATAGTTGAGGCATCATAAGGGCTAGTATACATTTGCCGTTCTTAAGGGTTTTACTATTGTTCTTATAAAGACTAGTGGACTAAACATGATACTTTTTACTGCTGTCTTGTAACCTAAATTCATAATTTTACACAAACAGATAGGTGTAATGATTTTGCTTTAAATATTTGTGTATGATGACAATTCAACATGGAAAGCTAATTTATTTCGAACATGTAACGTTCATTTGATGTTGTCCATTAACAAATGCAATAATTATTACTGATGGTCAAGGGGGGGGATAACTCTTCATTTTTAAATAAATCAAGAGCAGTTGTTAACCATAACTTATATATTAAATAACGATCGAATTATAAAAATTCAGAAATATATTTTGCAGTAGGATGGCATGAACAATTAATCTGAATAATAAATGCATCTCGGAAATATACTAAATCAGATAAATATAATCTTTAACACCGACTTAGATCTACATCGTTATATATATATGACGTTTTTGAAATTATTCTAAACATAGTTTATTTACACAGCCTATGTCTTTACTGGTCTTCTGTGCTAAATGCAGTGCCAAGTCGCGCGCATTATCGCGTGGAAATAGTCATTCGGAAAATTTGACAGAATGGTCAAGATATCATATATCGTCTTAGTCAAATTTTATTTTTGTCTCGGCGGTACTCAACTGTGCAAACCGATAAAGATAACCGATGGGGCGTATCAGAACTTAGCCCATGATGCTCGATCAGTGGTAGTTTT